CTTAACACTTTTTTCATGCATAAAATATTTACAGAAATTGCTGTGTATTAAAATACTGGCAAAACTCCCAACAAACAAAAGTCTAGCCACCAGATGGCTTCAAAAGTGAGTTCTGCCAGACATTTAGAGAAGACTTAATACCTGTCCTTCTTAAACTACTCCAAAAAATTGCAGAGGAAGAAATTCTTCTGAATTCATTTGATTAATTCACCATGATACCAAAAGCAGACAAAGATATCACACAAAAAGAAAATTAAGGCCAGTATCACTGATGAACATAGTTACAAAAAACTCAAGAAAATATTAACAAATCGAATCCAACAATATTCTAAAAGGATCATTTACCATACACAAGTGGGATTTATCTCAGGGATGCAAGTAACCATAAATAAATCAATGTGATATAACAGATTAACAAACTGAAGAATAAAAATCATACTATTGAGAGGGGCAAGATACAAGATGGTGGAGTAGAAGAACTTACGTTTAACTCCTCTCATGAAAAAACCAAAATCACAGCTAACTGCTAAACAGCCATCAACAACAAAGACTCAAACCTACCGAAAAAGATATTCTACACCAAAAGGCAAAGAAGAAGCCACAATAAGATGGTAGAAGGAGCACTTTTATGATATAATCAGATCCAATACCTGCCAGGTGAATGACCCACAAACTAGAAAATAATTGTATTTCAGAGGTTCTCCCACAGAAGTGAGAGTTCTGAATCCCAACCTCAGGGCCTGGCGTTGGGAGAAGGAGCCGCCAAAACTTCTGGCATTGAAGGCCAGTGGGACTGGAGTGCGGGAGCTAAGCAGGACCTGAGGGAAACAGAGACTCTATTCTTGGAGGATGCACACACGGTTTCATGTGCACTGGGACCCAGAGAAAAGCAGTAACTCCACAGGAGCCTGGGTCGGGCCTACCTGCAGATCTTGGAGGGTCTCCTGGGAGATAGGAAATGGCTGTGGCTCACTCTGGGGATAAGGACACTGGTCGGGGCCCCAGAGAATGTTCATTGGTTTGAGCTTCCTGAAGGGCACCATTTTGGCAGCAAGACTGGCCCCACGCAACAGTATACAGGCTTCAGTGCTGGGACACCTCAAGCCAAACAACCAACAGGATGGTTAAAAGTGCCTAAAGTCATCCTGAGCCTACTGCCAACTCTAAATGCACCCCTTGATGTGGCCCTGTCCACCAGAGGGACAAGAACCAGCTCCACCCACCAGAGGACAAGCCAGTCCCTCCCACCAGGAAGCCTGCAATACTCACCAGGGGGCAGACACCACAAAATAAAAAGGAACTACAGTCCTGCAGTCTGAGGAATAGAGACCACAAACACAGAAAGGCAGACAATAAGAAATGGCAGAGAAATATGTTCCAGATGAAGGAACAAAATAAAACCTTAGAAGAACAACCGAGTGAAGTAGAGATATGCAAACTACCTGAAAAAGAATTCAGTGATGACAGTAAAGACCATCCAAGATCTTGGAAAAAGAATGGCGACACAGACTGAAAGGATACAGGAAATGTTTAATAAAGAGTTAGAAGCTTTCAAGAACAAACATAAATGAACAATATAAATTCAACACCCATTTATAATAACAACGGCCCAGAAAGTGGACATAGAGGGAACATACCTCATCATAATAATGTCATATATGACAAACCCACTGCTAATATCATACTCAACAGTGAAAAGCTGAAAGATGTTCCCTCTAAGATAGGAACACGACAAGGATGTCCACTCTCACCACTTCTATTCAGCACAGTTTTGGAATTCTGAGCCATGGCAATCAGAGAAGAAAAGGAAAAAGGAATCCAAACTGGAAGTGTCACTCTTTGCAGATGACATAATACTATACATAGAAAATCCTAAAGATACTACCAGAAAATTCCTAGAGCTTATCAACAAATTCAGTAAACTTGCAGGATACAAAATTAATATACAGAAATCTGTTGCATTTCTGTACACTAACAACAAAAGACCAGAAAGAACAATTAAGGAAGCATCCTGCTTACTATCATATCAGAAAGAATAAAATACCTAGGAATAAATGTACCTGAAGATACAAAAGCTGTAAGATGTATTATAGCTTTTGTGTTTGTATTCCAAAAACTATAAGATGCTGATGAAAGAAATCAAAGATGTCACAAACAGATGAAAAGATATACCATGTTCTTGAATTGGAAAAGTCAATATTGTGAAAATGACTATACTACCCAAGACAATATATGTATTCAATGCAATCCCCATCAAATTACCAATGGTACTTTTCACAGAACTAGAACAAAAAAAAAATCTTAAAATTTGTATGGAGACACAAAAGACCACAAATATCCAAAACAATCTTAAGAAAGAAAAATGGAACTGGAGGAATAGGCACCCTGACTTCAGACTATACTACAAAGCTACAGTTGTCAAAACAGTATGGTGCTGTCAGAAAAACAGAAATAAAGATCAATGGAGCAGGATGGAAAGCCCAGAAATAAATGCACACACCTATGGTCAATTAATCTATGACTAAGGAGACATTGAAGGCGGGAGAAGGGGCGACAGAGGATGAGATAGTTGGATAGCATCACCGACTCAATGGAGATGAGTTTGGGTAAACTCTGGGAGTTGGTGATGGACAGAGAGGCCTAGCATGCTGCAGTCCGTGGGGTCACAGGAAGTCAGACATGACTGAGTGACTGAACTGAAAGAGGTGAAAATATATGATGGAGATAAGATTGTGTATAATAAGTGGTGCTGGGAAGACTGGACAACTGCATGCAAAAGAATGGAAGTAGAACATTCTCTAACACCATATATAAAAACTCTAAATGGATTAAAATCCTAAGTGTAAAGCCAGATACTATTAAACTTTTAGAGGAAAACATAGGCAAAGCATTCATTGACATAAATTGCAGCAAGATCATTTTTTATCCACCATGTAGAATAATGAAAATAAAAACTAAGCAAATGGGACCTAATTAAATTCAAAAACATTTGGAAAACAAAGGTAACCATAAATGAATTGAAGACAGCCCGCCAAATGGGAGAAAATATTTGCAAATGAAGCGACAACAAGGGATTAATCTCCAAAGTATACAAATGGCTCATGCAGCTCAATATAAAAAAAAAAAAAAAACCCCACAAATAGCTCATCAAAAAATGGGCAGATGATATATATAAACATTTCTCCAGAGAAGGCATACAGATGGCCAAAAATACATGAAAAGATGTTCAACATTGCTTGTTATTCATGAAATACAAATAAAAAATACAATGAGGTATCACCTCAAACTGGTCAGAATGGCCATTATCAAAAAGGTTACAAACAGTAAATGCTGGCATGAGTGTGGAGAAAAGGTAAATCTTGTCTACTGTTGATAGGAATGTAAATTGGTGTAGCCACTGTGGAAAACAATATGGAGCACTTTTTAAGAACTAAAAATATTACTACCATATGACCCAGCAATTCCACTCCGGAGTATGTTCCCAAAAGATATGAAAGCACTAATTTATAGAGTTATATGCACTCAATATCATAGCAGCATTATTTACAGTTGCCAGTGTATGGAAGCAACCAAAGTGTCCATCAACAGATTAGTGAGTAAAAATGGATGTGGTGTATATACACAATGGAATACTACTCAGCCATAAAAACTGAACAGATTTTTGCTGTTTGCAACTTGGAGGGTGTTATGCTAAGTGAAATAACTGAATACTGTACTGCATGGTATCTCTTATATATGGAATGTAAAAAATAAAATCAACTTGTAAGTAGACAAAAAAGAAACATATTCAGATATAGAGAGCAAACTAGTGGTTACCTGTGGGGAGAGGGATGAGGGAAGAGCAAGAGAAAAGTAGGGGATTAAGAGATATTAATATAAACTACTATGTATATAACAAATAAGCTATAAGAATGTATTGTACAGAACAGGGAATATATTGAATATTTTACAATAAGTATAAATGGAATATAACCTTTAAAAATTATGAATCACTATGTTGTACATCTGAAACTTATGTAATATTATAAATCATCTATACTTAAATTAAAAAGAGACTGTCTTTTGTTTAGGCTGAGTGTCCACATTCCTAGGCTGTTCTAGTTGGTAATTGTGTCTCTACTGAAAGCCGTTTTCCACACATGTAGTTTCTTGCCTTATCTTTGTTGCAGCTAGTGTTGTTTTTCTGTCTCTCATGAGGTAACTTCATTCTGCCCTTGCTCTCAACCACTCTCTATTCTCTGGTCTGTTTCTTCATATCTCATCCCAGTTTACTGCTTTGTAGGCAGCTGCTGGCGTCCTTCCTTGTTGGAAGACCATTACCTTGATATTGTGGATTTTGTGAAAGTGTGTTGTAAACTGACATGCATGAAACAAATATATAATTTCAACATTTTATTTAGAGTGCCCTCTAGAGATGGGGTTAGGGACATATTATTCATTTGTTTGGAGTACTTGCTTTTTATCAGCTTTTTTTTTTTAACTTAAAAAACATCACCAGTTGCTTCTAGTTATTTTATGAGTTATACTTCTGAAAGGTTGAGGCTGCCAGATTTAAGACCATCTGATATCGGGAAATCAGAATAGTTAATTTATTGGTTCTTCATTTTTATCTTTCATATAAATACTGTTCTTAAAGATATAGGAACAGTATCCAAAATAGATGAAAAGTTTACTATTGAGATTGCTCATGAAACTAACAATTTTTCCAGCAAGTGACTCGGAAGACATTGTGTAATTATAAAGTGAAAGGCATTAGCTTTAATCTCCACCCATTGAATTACATTGCTGTGTGGTAAATTTGGTTGATAAAGTTTTGGGTACCTAGCACCTTATCTGCTTACTAAGATTAGCAGAAATTTGAGGTTTGATTTTTCTAGCCCCATTAACAGTAAATGTGTCTAATTTCTTCCCACAGTTTACATTTACTTTGACAAAGGGAAATTTGGAAACAATTACTTAAGAACAGTTTGTATAACATCTGGATAATCAAAATAGTCACAATGAAGCACTTCCTGAGGTGAGTATTTATGGTTTCCTGGATGAGCCCTATGAAATGGAGAGACTTCCTTAACAATTAGTATAGTATTTCTGTTCACCATATGTGATCCTATAAGCAGGTCTCTTTGGATTGCATGAAATAGCATTGTATTTTGGCTAAGAATAATTTGGACATAGAGTTCCTTCTGCTAACTTTATATGCATACTGATGCTAAGAGAGAGCACTTGCAAGTAGGAGATTACAAGAGATTATAAAAGAATACAGGCACAAAAGCAGGTATACTTCAATGCTTTGTGTTTATAAAGCCCAAAGGTTTAGATTTGAGGAATTAGTAGTCAAGGAATCAGTATAATTTGTATAGAATCATTTTCTTTGAAAAAAGTAATTTTAAATATAGATTTTGGTTGGCCAGCCAATCCATACAAGCATTTTCAAATCTTCATTTTTGGGGAAAAATATATAGTCTAAGATTTTGCATTTTCTGCCTCGGTGATTCCTCTGAAATCTGCATTAATTTTTGGTTCCCTGAATATTATGCTGTATAGGGTGCCATATATGTTTGTGTATTTTAGAATGATCTTGTTTTGTTTTGAAAACCATTTAGTTGGACATACAGTCATAATTATTTTTAAGAGTATTGACTTCATTCACAATTCTATAAATGCTCAGAAATTTTACATTAAATTAAAATATGACAAACTAAAGTTAATTTGGTCCTGAATGTTACAAAATGAAACACACTTTCTACAGTATTGAGTTTCTTTCCTGCAAGATGGTGACCTACCTATATTTCGTATTCTCATCCCTTGTTCTGGCTATTTTTTCTAAGAAAATAATTAGTTGGCTTATTTCTTTTAGGAAATGATTTAATTCTTTCAGTAGATGCAATTTAAGTTTTTCTTTTTCCCACTGGTTTTCATTGCATTGTTATTTCTGGAGCACCTAAATCATTTGTGTGGAATTCACTATGTTTTGGTGTGTCTACTGGTGTTTATTCAATCTTAGAATTGTGAAAACTCAGAAGGTTGGAATTAAATCATTTACATGCATTAGCATTTATTTTGTTGTACAGAATATTCCTCAACCTGTTTATTTTAGATGTGTAAAAAGATAGTATTTGAAAAATCATTGGGACATTTATCATCAAACGCATACATTTTTGGTTGCCATGGCAATTAACCTATCTGTTTACACATTCATGAAAAATTAGTAACTATAAATCTATCTTGAATGTAAATGTATTTGTTAGCTATAGAATCATATTAACAGATAGCTTTAGTGTTGGTTGAAGATTAGGAGTTCCTTTTGTAAAGGCGGGGTGGTAGTGGTGAAGTGTGTACCAAGCCTTGAACTACTGAATTTCTTCTTCAGTGTTTTATTTGTTTTAGAAAACTCAAGTGGCCTCAAAACCAGCCATTTAGAGAGAAATAGCATTTGTTTCTATTAGTTTTTGTTAAGTTGAATAGGTACAGAGATTGTATTTTTAATATTAATTTGTATTTGCTGATTTGGAACTGATACAGTGGAAAATCTACCACTCTCATTTCACACAGAGCAGCACCAAGGGTGATGGAACTGGCATATCCCTTTCAGTTATGTGTTCTGATACAAATTTTTCTCTTTTAACTTGGCACATTTGTTTTATAGGCATGACTTAACTTTGAAACTGAAGCTAGGATAATAAATTACACATCAAGAAAGAAATGTGAGGATTTTCTCATTAACCCTTAGTTTTGAAATAATAAAAGGAAACTCAGTCATCATTTCTTCTTAGTTGAGTATTGCTTTTAACTTTAATTTTTGTTTTTAATTAATTTTAATTTAATTTTAATTAATTTGCTCTTATTAAGTTATAACTTGTATGTATTCATTATATGTTAATGTTTGTGAGATTTGGAGAAATAGAAGGACAAGGAGCAAGAATTCTGCATCACAGGCTCTATCAGGTCATTTAGATTGCCTTCTGTTCCCTGTGGTCCATTCCTACAGATGCTGGACAATTTAGCAATCTTTTCATTGGAACCAAAGAGAAGGTTACATAAATATAACTTGAACAAATCATGTATTAATTCCTGAGCTCAGCAAATATATTATGCAGAATAAGGAGCTGACTTTCACTGAGGAGAATCAGCATCATTTAAAAGCCCACAGAGTGATTAATCTACTCCTGAGTTACTCTAGAATAAGCAATTTCTGAGGTCATGTACAGCCTCAGAAGAAATGAAGTTAATCTTAAAGAAACAAAGTGTGGGAAAAAATGAATTTTAATCCACATTTAAGGTACATGGAACCCACACTCCTCTCTGACTACCTGCTACCATCACCTATTTTAATGGTGTAACTACTCATAGCTTAAGGGAATAGAAAACACATTACATGAGATATTAGAAATAAATGCTATAGGATTAATACACCCAGCTGAAGGGTGTGTTTTAAGTTGACATTAGATATGGGATATTGGGTAAGTACCCCATAGTCACCCAATATGACTTTAGCCTTGATCAACATTAAAAAAACAGGGGATAAAATTGAGAAGAAAGTGTGTCTATGTGTGATCAGAAAGAGGGGACACTCTTTGAGTCTGAAATAGAACTGAAGCTTAGAGATTAGTTTATTTAATATATTTCATTAATATCAACTCAATTGATGTTAATAATAGAGAGAACCTAACACTTATACTAAAATCTTTTCCTTTACTAGAATTTAGTTATTTAGATTATATACTTTTAAGGTCACTGGAACATTATTAATTTTGAATTTTTCTAATAAAGGGGATGTTAGACGTCACCCCATATAAATAATTGCTTTCAACTATTTCAGCCTCAAGATCTCAGTTTCTTGGCATGGATCTTACTGCTTACTTTCCTTCCTTAGGCAGAAGAGGAAAATGAAAACATCTGCCAACCTCAAATCTCCATGGGAGAAACTGAGATATAGAGCAGACTTGTACTGGCTGTGAAACAGTAGAGGGAGAAACAATATTTCCCTACTGTGATTAATAGATACAGGCTTCCAGTTCACAAAAATATCTATAAAAGGAGCTTTAGAAGTTCATGCTTGATTAATACCTTCATCCACTGATTGAATTAGTACCGTTTAGTACTACTAGTAATTCTAGTACTGTGCCACATTTTAACTTTTATTTTCTCTTCATAACAACTGTAATAAAACAGGAATTAATAATTCACTTTATAGCACAGGGCATAAAGTTTATTAGCAAAGTTAAAAAATCTCATGCAAAGGACACAGATATTGAATGCATGCCTATCTGACTTCAAAGTTTTTTTCTCTTAATATCTGTATCATGTTACTTCCTTACTGTATACCTGTTGTGAGGCGTTCTGGGTGATACAAAAGTGCATATGAGGTGGCCTCTTCTCTAAAGTAACATACCACTTGGTAACGAGATAAAGCCACACATATAAAATTAAGATGTAAGAAGGAATGTGATTGGTGACATGCTGCAGCTATTTTGTGAAAGGAATATTCAGGGAAGGCTTCACTGAGTTGATGTTGAAGGAAAGAGATAGAGGATGTAATAGATGGAGAAGGTGCTTATGAGCAAAGCCTGAGGAAATATGACCAGCTGCCACAAGCATCATGTGGTCAAGGTTTATTGGAAGTAAATCCTGTTTAGGGTGAGTACAAGATAAGGTGCAAAGATAAATTTGGGGGGCAGTTCTTGGACACCTTTGGAAGCATGGCATAAAATAGCCCAGAAGCATGGTAACACTTTCACCAAGAAATAATATGGACCTTAAAGAAAAAGATGAACCTGAAAGTGAAAGTTAATTGCTCAGTCGTGTCTGACTCTTTTGTGACGCCATGGACTGTATCCCACCAGGCTCCTCTGTCCGTGGAATTCTCCAGGCAAGAATGCTAGAGTTGGTTGCCATTTCCTTCTCCAGGGCATCTTCCCAACCCAGGGATCAAACCTGGGTCTCCTGCATTGCAGGTGGATTCTTTACTGTTTGGACCACTAGGGAAGCCCTTAAAGAAAAAGATGTCAGGCAAAAAAACCCAAAAACAAACCACTTTTCCCCTTGTAACGTATGTCTGACTTTATCGTAGAGCCAGATATCTAGTCCATTGCTTCCATTATGAGTAGGTTGTGCACAGTCACACAGCTCATAGTTGTGTTGAGGCTAGATTTGAAGTCAGACTTCAGACACTTTTCTATTTAACTGGGTAGCATTTCCATTCAGCACCAACTAATTTCCATTGCTTTTGAAGGGCTGAAGGTGCAGCGTCATGTAGTTCTTCCAGAATTTGACTAGCCTCGCTTGAGACTTTAACTGAGCTTATTTTTTGGATGTTTAAGCAAAGTCCTGAAAAAATGGTAGATTTATGTCGCATCTGAATACCTCTCTCATCGTAGACTGGTACTTTTAGCCATAGTTTTCTCTCTTTTTTTTTTTTTAGGACACATACATACGCACCACATATGTATGTACATACATAAATATACATGTGTATACATATATGTATGTATGTATATATATTATACATAGACCCATACATAGGTACACATGTTTACACATATATATTTCAAATTACTTTCTTTCCTGCATTAAAACAAAGTATCCATACCCTTGTTGAAATATGTTAACCTGAATAGTTTTCTAGGCACTTTCCTATAGGTTATCTCACCAGAGCTTGCCATGACATATTTTTTGAACCTGCAATATTGGTTCTCCTGCCCTGTCTGTTTACTTTCCCAGGTTAGGGAAGTTTTCAACTCTTATGTCTTCAGATATATTCTCTGTCCCTTTCTCTCTTTTCTCTTTCTGGGACCCTTATAATGTGAACGTTAGTATACTTGATGTGGTCGCAGAGATCTCTTAAATTGGCCTCATTTGTTTTTCTTCTCCGTTTAGCTTCAGTGATTTCCACTACTGTGTTTCCAGCTCACTGATTTGCTCCTGTGAGCAAATGTCTCATCTAAGCCTACTGTTGATTCTTTCTAGAGTATTTCTTATTTCAGTTATTCTATTCTTCACCTCGGTTTGGTTCTTCTT